TTTTTCTTCTGTCTATATTATAGGTAAGCTACAGTTTATTCAGTCTTATAAAATGAACCTCTTCTCTTTCACCAGAGTAGTGCCCATCTTCTGTGATGTGTTAACCCTTCTAGTTTATCAGGTAAGGGGGAAACAATTTTAATTTTTTCCTTTAATTATTAATGGATTATGTGTATTAGTGGTTTGCTGAGAGGACACACTGTTTTCTCCTGTATCCGTACATAGTTTTCACTCTCGGGGTGTGCGTCTTTGCTAACTCTGGGTATCCTAGTCTCTTGTTAGAAGAACATCCGTCCACTTGAATCAGGGCCATCCAAATGGCCTCATGTTGTAGTCATTCTTTAAAGATCATGTGGCCAAATGTATCACATTCTGAGATGGTAGGATTAGAAGTGGTACACAGTTTGGCCTATAATAGATAACAACCAGCTAAACAGTTATAATAATCCACAGGAGATGTGAGAGTGGTTGGAAACAGATTGGCAGCAGCAGAAATTGATGAGAAGTGGTTGGATGTGGGTTTATGAAGTTTGAAGTGGAGCCAACACATTGTTGACACCTTGTTTGTGAGGTATAAAACAAAAGAGAGTGCAAGGTGACCCTTCAAGTTTTTGGATGGATTGAGAGTTTATTGTAAGTGTAAGGAAGGCCTTGCTTACTCTGTTGACTGGAAGACACGAGTAGATTCCAGACAAGTTCTAGGCACTCATTTCTGTAAACTCAGCCTCATCAAAGAAAGTAGGAATAATGTTCTCTGATGGTTTTAGGATTTGAGGGTTGGTTGTGAGAGGGTCAGAGCATGCTCTCTGCTCAAGATGCTAGTGATTTTTCTGACAACTGTCTCCTGAAAGGGAAGACGGTGTTTGGTGTGGCTTCTTCCCACCAGGCATCCTTTTAGCTCTTTGACACCCACCATGCATAAATTGACAAGGTGGACTCTGATTCACCATCTTGGTAAGAAATACATAGAGAAGCATCCGCTTATGTAATAAGGGTGGATCTTCTATTGTCTAACAAGATTCACTTAATGAGTGTATTCACACTTCTAAGATACTATCAGATGAGCAGAGAGAATGGGTTTAGAGTGTGAGGAGTTCCTCTGTGATGCCAGGAGGAACTGTGTCTGTGCCTTTGAGTTCACATTTCTCAAAGACTGCTTTACTTATAGTTGCTAGTCTTACAGCACATTGTTGTCTGCCCCTGTCCATCTCCAGCACAAAGGTACATCTGTATGCCTTGTAGTCTTGACTTTTCAGTTCTTATATCCTCCAAAACTAAATTGTGAAGCCTTTCCAAGTGACATTTGGAACACTGGTATCTGTTTAAGCTATTTTTTTTTTTTGATTGCTTAAATTTCTCACTCACTACAATAAGCAAGGGCATTGTCTGTGCCTTTCAGAAAGAAATAATAAAAATTACTGAGTGAAAATTAGAAACCTGGAATTAATAAACTGACGAAATAGGAAGTCATGTATCATCTCATTAGCAGGAGGTAAGCATGATCTAGTGTGCCTTTGAGATCCTTTTGATGATGTGTTTTTTTTGAGCTTTGCTCCATTTTATCTATAAGTGTGCTGAATTTGGTGATCATTTACATTTACTAGCATGCCATTTTCAGTGAGTTTTGATATTTTCATTTATAAATTTATATGTAGGCGCCAGTCTACTCTTGGATACTTGACCTTTGTGATGAATTTTAGACATTCTCCCTAGAAAAATAGACGTATAGTGAGCAACAAATGGTTCATAGGTTATAAAGTAGCCTATAGATGCCAAATAAGATCTGTTGTAAGTTTGAGAACTTGCATGTGCCAGGTATTGTCCTGGGTGTTAAACAGCAGTGAATAAACTGAATAATAATAATGGAAGTATGTGTGGGGAATCTTGTTTATTAGGGTTAACATTCAGTGGAGAAAAACAAAGTAGAAAGGATGGAAGGAGTGTTATGTAAGTTGGGATGGAGAATAAGGTGACAAAAAAGGCCCCACTGAGAATATGTAACAATTGAGCAAAGATTTAAATGAGGTAAGGGAGAAGCTTTGAAGACATCTAGAGGAAAAGTCCTTAAGCAAGAGAGGGAGAGAGAGACAAAGGACATAAAGACCCTGAAATGGAAATAGTTCTGGTTTGCTTGAACCGGGGCAAAGGCCAGCGTGACCAGAGTAGGGGAAGAGCACAGAAATGACTCAAGCTGGGACCTAGGGGTCAGGTTTCCTTGATGTTTGCAAGTTTTTAAAGGAATTGGGGTAGAAAGTTCAGGTGAAATATCTAATTGGAATATGTTCTAGAAACCCTAGAAGACAAGAACTGGAGGCAGTCAACAGGGTTTTGTTGTTGTTGTTTTTTGGTAAGTTCTAAAGGAACTATAAAGGAAACATGACGAGAAGATTAGTTTGAGGCTGAGATAATCATGAAATTTTGCTTGTTAGTTGTGCCTTTTTTTGTCTTGAAGAGAAAGGATAGCCTGTTTACTAATTAGAATGATCCAGTAGAAAGGAGTAAAGTGATAATGCAGGAGAGTGGCTGAAGAACTGCTGTCAGGATGCAGATGAAGGAAGCAGATGGGAATCCCATTCAAAGATGCAAGTTTGTGGATTGAGCAGCAGCAGCCTGTCACCCCTGGTGAGAGAAGGAAGCAAGCTGTGCTTCAGCACACCTGCAGGTGTGCAGGCTGGCGGCAGGATCACAGGGAAGGGTGGTGTTTGCATTGATGTGTGTGCTTTATGGTTCTGCGTGCTCGCTTTCATTTTCTTAGTACAATAAGATGAAAAGTCATATTTATATTACTAAATAAAAGATGGTGATGCTGTGTGAAAAAGATTCCATAAGACAGTAAGTGTGAAGGACCAGAAGATGCTTGCCTTTGGTTTATTTACTTCCTATGTGTCCTGCTTATTAGGCCTGTCCTGATTTCCCAGCTAAAGGAAGGGAAAAGACGAGCCCAAGTATGCAAAGTGCTCCTAAATTTGAAATATCTTGAGTGCCAAACCCTGCTATGAAAATTTCACATAACAAACTTTTGTTTCATTCACAAAATTATTAAAAATATATGAGGAATGGTGAGATGGTTCATTCAGTAAAAGTGCTTGCTATGGAAGCCTGACATCCTGAATGTGCCCCTAGGGCACACATAAAGGTGGAAGAAAAGAACAAACCCCTTAGAATTGTCCTCTGACTGCAGTTATACATTGTGGTCCAGGCATAATAACAAGAATTTTTTTTATTTAAAAATACTTTATGAATTTATCTTCAGGTCCCGTGTATAAGTTGACTATGAGACATGGATGAGTGTTGTGTTTAGATATGTGTCCCATCCCCAAGACAACTCATTTTGTATATACAGATATTTAAAAGTCTCAGATCCCAAAAATTGTGTTCCCAGGATAAGGGGTCCATGCAGACTATACAGTTTATTCCTCTTCCCTCCTCCCCTCTTTCTCTCTCCCATTTCCCTCCCTCCCACTCTCTTTATCTCCCTCCATCCCTCCTTTTCTTTTCTCTGCAGTTATTCAGTGTGTATGTAGGAGGTGGGCGGGTGCTGCATGGCAGCAGTGTGGATATTGGAGGACAGTCAGTTCTCAACTTCCGCCATGGGAGCAGAGCTCAGGTCGTCAGGGTTGGCAGCAAGCACCTTTATCCCCTAGCCATTTCTCAGCCTCAGTAAAAAGTTTCTATGTCTTTCCTGCAGTGATTTTGGCTTTGAGACTTCTTAGTGATAGAAATATAAATATTTCTACTTTGTCTCATAGGTTTGGAGGTACCAAGTAAGAAATTAATATATACGATGCTGGAAATTTGTAAACGCAAACTGCTAATGAATGAAAGGTTTGAAACAGATCTGTTTTTGAAGTTACCAGGAAAATGACTATGAAAACGGCTCAAGAAGACCAATGGAAAACCACTTAGAACGGAGCCATAGAAAATGTACACTTCAGAAGAGAGATGTAACCAGAGAACTCAAAAAAGAAAAATATACCATGTATGCCCTCAGAAGGGGAAAAAGATTTATATTCATGTACATGAGATTACTCAAATAGATAATCAAATATATCAGTGCCTTGAACGTGAACAGAACTTTTGTGAAAACTTAGCACGTATGTGTGAGAAAACATATACTGGGGAGAAACCTTATAGATGTGATATGTGTGAGAAAACCTTCATCCAAAGTTCAGATCTTATTTCACACCAGAGGATCCATAATTATGAGAAACCTTATAAGTGTAGCAAATGTGAGAAGAGCTTTTGGCACCACTTAGCCCTCTCAGGACACCAGAGAACACATGCAGGTAAAAAGTTTTATACCTGTGACATCTGTGGCAAGAACTTTGGTCAGAGCTCTGATCTGCTTGTCCACCAACGAAGCCATACAGGGGAAAAACCTTATCTGTGTAGTGAGTGTGATAAATGCTTCAGTCGAAGTACAAATCTCATAAGGCACCGAAGAACTCACACAGGTGAGAAACCATTTAAGTGTCTGGAGTGTGAAAAAGCTTTTAGTGGGAAATCGGATCTTATTAGCCACCAAAGGACTCATACCGGTGAAAGACCCTACAAATGCAATAAATGTGAGAAAAGTTACCGACACCGTTCAGCCTTCATTGTACATAAAAGAGTCCATACCGGGGAGAAGCCGTACAAGTGTGGTGCCTGTGAGAAGTGCTTTGGCCAGAAATCAGACCTTATTGTACACCAGAGAGTCCATACCGGTGAGAAACCATATAAATGCTTGGAGTGCATGAGAAGTTTTACCCGGAGTGCCAACCTAATTAGGCACCAGGCAACTCACACTCATACTTTCAAATGCCTTGAATATGAGAAAAGTTTCAACTGTGGCTCAGACCTTATTGTGCATCAGAGAATTCACATGGAAGAAAAACCACACCAATGGTCTATGTGTGAGAGCGGTTTCTTCCTGGGTATGGACTTCGTTGCCCAGCAGAAAATGAGGACTCAAACAGAGGAGCTACATTATAAATACAGTGTATGTGATAAAGGCTTTCATCGTAGCTCAGCCCTTCTTCAGCATCAGACAGTACACATTGGTGAAGACTACATCTGTAATGGGAGTGAAAAAGGTCTGGATCTTAGCTCTCATGCATCGGAAACCTCACGGATGTCTTGACAGGAAGTCACATAACCTTAAAAAAAAAGGTATTTTACACATCTGAACTCATTAAGAGAAAGACTTGTAGGTGAATTTCAGATTTCCCTCAGATCTCAGACTTCATTGGGGGCCAGAGACAAAGAGAGTCTACAGTCTTAGGAACTGTAAGAAAAGCTTTATGCAGAGAATGGCTCTATCAGGACACCATTATTAGCCACATTTGTGAGGAACTCCACAAATGCTCTGGGTTTTGGAAAACCTTCCACACAAGAAGTTTCATCAGATCGGAAGCTGTACACGTGCAGTATGGGAGCTCTCCAGCAGTGGTAAGCCCTCATCATTACAAGAGAATTCACACCAGAGAACAACCATTTAAATGCTTTGTGTCAGCAGTACTTTGGACACTATGTACGCCTTATTGGATATCAGAAAAGTCACCCTGGGGAGAAACCCCAGAAATTAGAGGAAAAAGCTCTAACAAAATTCTGACTATCTTACCCATCAGAGAAGCCATACTGGTATAGATGAATATTTGTCTTGAGTGTGGCAGAAACATTTGTTGGAGAGTCTTACATGGGTTTGCATCCTCCTAAACAAGAATCAGAAGACAGATAAGTGTCTGAATGAGAAAAGCTTGTTAATTTTCAGCTTTTGGGGTGTATCTGGCAACTCACAGCAGTAAAAACCCATAAATGCCTTGTGTCTGAGAAGCTAGAAGCTCTCATCTAATCGGGCCCCAAAGAACTGGTTCTCCAGAGGAGTTGTTCCAGTGTGAGAGATCTAGTTGTGGGTGAGAATCTGTATATATGCTATGTCTGAGAAGAGCTGTTCTTGTAGTTGAACCATATTGTAAAAACTTAAATAGAGTTGTATGGAAGGAAATAGTGTCTTAGCGACCCAGAAGCTTGTTCTGGAGGAGCTGGGGCAGGTCAATGTGGATCTGAAGGGTAACTCAGGTAAAGACGCTTTCTTTTGTCTGAACCACTTAATGATTGCTTTAGTTTCACTTTTAAAAACCCATAAATCCAGTAAGGAAAGGATTGTAATCTTGTGTATAAGGTAGGGCATGGGCTATTGTTGGAAGGAGGGAGTGCTTTGAGTTTTCCTTGCTTTTTTTAAACTCTCTTCTCTAGAACGGGAATGGTGGGTTTCTAGCAGGCTGGGAAAAGAACTAAGAAGCTAGGGAGTACTTAGTTTGGGTTAAAATTCTCAGTAGTTTCCCCATTGCATGATCAACTTCAGCAAAAAGCAGAATACTCAGCTCTTTACTTAGTGTTGAGATCTGCCCTCAAAATTGTCCCTAAAGTATCTTCTGGTTTAGAGATTCATTTCTTTTCAAGTCAAAATAACAAATTCCAGGATACTGGTTATGATGATGTTATAGTATCTAGGTTTTTGTGACTTGTTACATCTCTTTCAGTGATAATTACCATATCAGCTGCCTCAGAGCAGGAATAGGACGAAAGTTGTTAACCAGAGAAAGCAGAGGAGAGACACAATGAAGCGCTCTTCATGGAGGAAGTGGACACTGATTTTGAGGGTCCTGACTCCAAAGCTTATGTTTTACATTCTATTATCCTGATGCTTGCAGCAAATTAAGCTTCATAATGACACATTTTTTTCATTTATTTCAGTTCTGTCAAGGAAAGAAAAATACAGTTTAATCCCAGGGAAAGGATTGCAGTCAACACAATATAAGGTATATTCTTGGTTTGGAATGCAGGATTCTAAATGTTAGAAAAGTAGTTGGCAGATTCACCTGAGGTTTAAGGATAAATAAACATTTGTTTCCAGTGCAGTAGGTTAATTGTCTTTAACATACTTTGGATAGCTCACGACCCAAGCATCTTATGGTTACTTCTCATTATTTTTCTTTCTTTGGCTTAAAAGACTTTTAATTCAAATATTTCAAGTTCCTGTGGTATTTGGGACTCTGTAGAATATAATTATTTTATTGTTAATCACAGCCTTCTGGTTTTGTTGTAATTTGTTTAATGAACCCCTGAATTCCATGGGGTATTAGTGTTTAGCGTCATGAAATTGATCTGGTGATACCTTACATGTGGCTGTAAGCTCTCAACCTGATAGTTGTTTGATAATCATAATCTTAAGGCCAGTGAATTTAGCTCAGTAAAGAATCTGGTTCCAGTGTTTTTCCTTAAAAAAAACCGGTTGTGTCAGTTTTAATCTGACGTGTTCTAGTAATTTTTATAAATAACTTTAGTATTATGAAAATTTGTCCATTGTGATAAACACAAGATACGTAATTTTCTCCTTGGGGAATATCATGCCTATTACTAGCAAAAGTTTCATAATTGTGATGCTTAAACTAATATTGGGTATATGACAACCTCAGTAAAAAATGAATTAGTTATTATGGCTGCTCATTAGTGCTCATTAGAGAGACCATGGAGAAAGAGACAAAGTTTAAAACATTAGTAGGTTGGTGACTTACCCTTCAGCCTGTCTCACTGGTAATCGTCTATAGTCTCTAAGTAAACTAACAGTGGACCATTCCTCAAACAGAACTTTGAGGATGTAAAGCAGGCCTGAGGCCTGTTAACTATGGTGAGAAGGTGTTGGTATTACATAGCATAACCTGAGGTTGGAGAGGACCACTTGGGAGCCTGTAACCAAAGCTAGAAGGTGGTCACTTCTGGGATGGATGGAGGTTCCCTTGAAGCAGTGCCAACCCAAATCTACCTCAGGTAAGTAGTTAGAGTAACTTTTTCAAGATTTCAGACCAAATGAGATAAATTATATTCCGTCCATGTATTCCTCTATGCTTTATTGTTTTTGTTTACCTTTAATTCTTAAATAAACATTTGTTCTGAAAAACTCTATTTTTGTTTCCACTATACTATGAGAAATTAACAAGTCCCCTGCATTTACATTGGAGTATTGTACTTAATGATGCAATGTGTAGGTGGTAGCCATAACCATTGGACAAGGGCAAAAGGCAACCACATTCTTTGCCAAAATATCACAAGGAAGATCTCTAGCCCATTTACTAATATTCTTCCTCTCTGAAACCTCTTGAGCTTAGTTTCCCCAGTCTGCATAGCTCTCAGCACTACAGTAAGGCCCACTGAGCTCTGCTTACAGAATTCAACTGCTTTTCTAGTCCAAAATCCCAAAGTCTGCCATATTCCTCCCAAAAAACCACATGGTCAGGTCTGTCACAGCAAAAGCCCACTCCCTGGATTCTGTTTTAGTTCCTTTTCTAGAGAGGCTGTGATAACACACCATGACCAAGGCAACTTATAAAAGAAAGAGTTGAGTTTAGTGTACTGTTACAGAGGCATAGAGTCCGTGATAGTGGGGGCCAGGAACAGCTGAAAGCTCACATCTGCATCCACAGCCACGAGGCCAAGAGCTAACTGGGAATCACAGGAGTCCTGAAACTGAAAGCCCACTCCCAGTGACATGCGCCTCTTCCAACACGTTCACACTTCCTAAACCTTCCCCAAAAGTTCTGCCAACTGGGGACTAAGTATTCAAATCAATGGGCCTATGGAGGCTGTTCTCATTCAAACCACCACAGCCGAGAGAACCTGCATGTGGGTCCCCAGAATCAGTAAATCCGCCAGTAAGTCCTGGCAGTGGCGGAGGAGAGACAAGAGGATGCCTGGGGCTCGCTGGGCAGCTAGTCCAGCCACAGGGTAAGCTCCAGGTTCAGTGAGATTGACAACACTGGACATTTTCTTCTGGCCTCTGCATATGCACACATACCGAGTTGTGGGAATAAGGTGGGCAGGGCGGCTTACTCTCAGCACTCAGAAGGTAGATATCGGTAAGAAGGTCAGGAGTTTGTCAGCCTGGGCTACATGAGACCCTCAACCAGCACAAAAGTCAAGATAGAAGGACGGTTGGTAGTGACCGGTAACATCCAATTGACGGTTAGAATCTAACGAGAAAGTGGAGACTCTTGGGGTAACTGTTTTGAATGTATTTTGTACTCTTTCATGCCTGTTTTGAAGTTCTGGACAGGCTTATTTTCAGGACTCAGTCTTAAAATTGACAGATGGTATTATCTGAAAACAAGAAGCCTCTTCATGTAGAACTCTTAAGTAGACTCTTCTTGAACCCAGTATCTCTTCTGAATGAGGGCCTTAGTTTTAATAAGTAGGGGAAAGGAAACTGCTTTTAAAGGCATGGCACTTGGCTCAAAAACAGCGTGGCCTTAGGGAGTTACCTATAACAGCTTATCTGTAGCATCCCCCTCCCCCAGGAAAGGAGTGCTGAGGGAATTCTATAAAATAGCAGCTTTCTCATGATCTGTCTGTGTTGATGCCCCAACCCACATTCAGCCCTGCGTACTTAATCATTCCCCTAGTTAACTATTTGACCAGGAAATAGTATCTAGTAGTCCCAGCCCTCCTGGCTACATAAAGGCACACATCTAAGGAAATTAGTGCCTTGACTCCATTTGAACAGGCCAACCCTCCATCCTCTCGTTCAAGTCCATTGTCTTCAGTAACCTTTAGAACCCTCTTTCCACGATCTCTACTGATTCATTTTCTTCTTTGAGGTTTTTCCTGTTTCCATAATATGTTCAGGTTGCCTTTAATTCCCTGTTGAAAAAAGTTCATTCCTACAGTTAACCCCTCCCCAGAGTTTAAAGTACTCGTGGTTTTCCTTTCTAAAATATCTTACTCTAAATCTGACTTCTAGCTGCCGTTGAACCCAAGTGCAGTGTGTAGTCTCCAGCCCACCCATCTCATTTTCCTGTCCTTAGCAACATAGGATAATATGGATTCCTTTCGTCTTAAGCCAGAGTTTCAGCCCAGACTATCTTCAAACTGTGTAGCCTAGGATGATCATGAACTTTTTAATATTTCTTTCAGACTTTTCCTTTTGTTAAGTGTTTTGCCTGCATTGTGTGTATGTGCATTATATGGATGTCTGGTGCCCAAGGAAGGCAAAAAAGGGCATTGGATACCCTGGAGCTGGGCTTAAGGATGGTTGTGAACCACTATGTTGGTACCAGGAACCAAACTTGGGTCCTCTGTAGGAGCAACAAATGTTCTTAACCACTGAGCCATCTCTCTAACCCTGACCATGAACTTCTGATCCTCTTGCCTCTGCCTCTCTAACTAACACTTGCCACCATACCCAATTTATGATATGCTGAGGCTCAACCCGGGGTCTTGTGCATGCTGGGCAAACACTGTACCAAGCAGCTATATCCCCAGCCCCACTGACTTTTTCTTAACTCCTCTGTCAGATCCCTTCCCATCTCAAAAGTTTATGCTCTCATACACCGTTTTCATTCTTATCCAAAATCACTGAAGTGTAGAAGCATACTCAGAGGTCTACACATATCTGAGTAAGTCCCTCCTCGATCACAGGAAGCCAGTGACTGAATTTCTTTTCTTTCTTTTTGTTTTTCATGACAGGGTTTCTTTGTGCAACAGTTCTGGCTGCCCTGGAACTTGCTTTGTAGACCAGGCTGGCCTTGAACTCAGAGATCCACCTGCTTCTGCCTCCTGAGTGCCGGGGATTAAAGGCATGTGCCACCACCTCCTGGCTGTAACTGAGTTTCTTAGATTAGTCTTTGTGAACAGACTGGAAAAAGATTCTGCTTGCCCTGACCTAAGCTTTCATGTTACAAGAAAGGGACATAGAGAAGACTTTATGGTAAGGACCTAAAGGCAGCCTTTAGGAACTTGTCCTGAAGTGATGGCCTACAGGAAAATGGTTTCAGTCCTGTACTTTGAAAGCTGTGAATTCTACCAACCACCAGTAAGTTTTGGAAAGTGTCCTAACCTTGCAAAGACCGAACAACAGCACTAGGATAAGCTAGACTGTAACCCCAAAAAGTTTAGAGGTAATTGGTTTAAGAAGTAAAATCTGGTAGTTTATTACAGTAACAGAAAACTAATACATGGACTAAATAAGCAAACTACTTTTGTCTTATTGCTGCCTCTCATTGAGTAGAAAGGGAGACATCTGTGTGGTGATATTTTATTTGTGCTTTAATAAATAAAGCTTGCCAGGATAGCAGAGGTAAAAGCCAGCCATTATAAGTAAACACAGAAGTCAGGTAATGGTAGCACACGCCCTTAATCCTATCACTTGGGAAGCAGGGATGTCTGGATCTCTGTGAGTTCAAGGCCACACTGGGAACAGAGCCAGGTGGTGGCACATGCCTTAAATTCCAACACTAGTTAATCATGGAGGTCTGTACAGACAGGAAGTGACAGAACTGGGCAGGAAGAGGAAGTGATGTAGCTGGACAGAGAGAGCAAATCAGATGGCAGAACAGCAAGACATACAGGCATGGTTAGACAGGAAGTATCTCGCTTTTGGAAGCTGCAGAGTTGGTGAGGTGAGGTTAGCTGTGGCTGTTCCTAGTCCTCTGATCTCTCTCAGGCTTTAACCCCAATTTCTAGCTCAATTTCTAGTTTTTAATTTAATAAGACTGTTTAGAAATTTGTCTACACATCTGCTTTCCCCATCCAGAGCCACAAAAGCATCTCTGTTGTCATCTCTGTTTGCTCTTACTCCTTTAGCTTTATTTTGTTCTCCTGTATTTAATGTTGCATTTCTTTTTGGAGAGGGTGTGTGTGTGTGTGTGTGTGTGTGTGTGTGTGTGTGTGTGTGTGTGTGTTTATAGGCATGTACATGTATGTACATGTAGGTGCCCAAGGAGGCTGGAAGAGGACATTGGATCTCCTAGGGCTGGAGTTACAGGTAGTTAGGAACCTCCTGACCTGGGAATCAAACTCAGGTCCTCTGGAAGAGCAGCAAGTGCTCTTAACCACTAAGCCGTCTTTCTAACCCTTTATGTTTTGTTTTTGTTTGCTTGCTTGGTTGAGACAGTCTCACTGTAAAGGCCAGACAGACCTTAAACTTGTAATTTTCCCACTTCAGCTTCCCAGTTGCTGAGGTGACAGGAAGTGCCACCATGCCTGACACCTATTTAAAATTTTACACCCAAAGAGTAGACGAAACTTCACTTAGATTCCCTGCTTAAAATTTTGCCACATTTGCTTTATCTGAATGTATTACGCTTCTGAGTTTTTTAAAAACTTGCCAAGCCTTCGACCCCTAAACACTTGGACGTGTGTGTCCTGACAACTGGGGCTTCTGTTACGCACTGCCATGTCTAAGGAAGGTAGAGTGCATTCTCCACTAGGTTGCTCTGGGAGGCAGAGGATGTCTGTTTATCTCATTAGTAATGATGCTCTTTGACTTGTTTATATTTTAAATAAAGGTACCTTTTTTCTTTTGTAATATGTACTAAGTGCTATGCTACATTAACAATGTATGGAAATTTTAGCATTCTAGATTATCCTTGCCTAAATGTATTTGGTAATTGCAAAATGGTCATTTCCTATTTCTGGAGTTTGTTTTATATTTACTAGTCTTGTATAGAAGCAGGACTCTCCTTAACTCTCTTTTTTCCTCCTAAGTATTGGTGTAGACAGGGGTTTTTATTGGTATGTTATAGTCCACTACCATCACTCTTTTCAATGTTTAAATTATGGCAAATATAACCCTCTCACACCACTTCCTGTGTTTTGGTGTGAGCATGTCCCTACAACTAGTTTGATTTATAGTTCATACAGTATTCCCAAAGCCCTTATTCTTGAACTTTTACAGTCTTGGATTGGCTGTTTCTCAAAGAATCCCCAATTAGTGCTTAGAAACTGAAATTTGAGCGCTAGCTTTATTTACTCTTTGTGGGAAATTGGCTAGCTTCTTTCGAGAGCTCAATTGATAATCTAATTTGAATGCCACTTCTCAAAATTCATCCTCACTTTACTCTTCCATGTCTGTCCCTAGAATCTTTACTTAAGAGGAGACCCACTCACCTTGTATGCTCATGAATAGGGTGTGGGACTGAATTTTAAATAACAAACTAAGCCAACCAAGCAGAAATCCAAAATGGAATGTAGTGAGTAATACATGGGAAAAGGTGCATTCTATTGAACCACTAACCAAAGCACTAGAACTGGCAACCATTGAGTTTGTAGTGATAAAATTAGAATATTCCTAATTCATTTACATCTTTATGAATTGATGTCCTCATCCAATCCAAAAAGTGCTTCCTCTCCAAACCCATAATTAGCCATGCTTTTATGGTGCATGCTTTTAACCCCAGCACTCAGCCTTCTGCAGGAGGCAGAGGTAGACAGATGTCTGAGTTTGAGGCCAGCCTGGTCTACAGAGCAAGTTACAGAACATCCAGAAAATAACAACAAAATAACAACAACCTCCCATAATGGTTGCTGACGATCCACCCAGTTTTGTGTCAGCCTAGGTTTTCTGCAACAAAACATGCATAGAAAAGAAGGCACTCAGAACTGCAAACAGATGTCTGTTACTCCTTGGATTTTTCACCTTCTTCACCTAAAATATTACACTATTCAATAGTTACTCCCAGCAAACGAGAGTAAAGACCACTACTCAAATTCTTTGGTCAAATCATTCACACTGTTCTGTGGGGGAGACAAGGCTATCTCCCTAAAGTGGGTTTTGAGAAAATAGCATTGAACATAGGAAAAAAGTGAGGCTTATGTAGCCCAAAAAACTGCAAGAGTAGGGGTTCTTCAAGGGTTGGGGGATTTCTAGAGCAATTTTGGTTATGTAGGAATTCTGCTGAACATTTCAAAATTATTTGGCAGAACATCTTATGAGGGTGGAAGTTAGGGTATAAAGTATGTAAGATGTCAAATTCCAGAAAATGGGTCAAGACCTGTTAAATCCATGTTTTACAGAAAACAGGAATGAATTTATTTTGACGTTGTAATAAGGTGGCTTCTAAAGATGAAGTCGGGATGGTCCATCACTACCTATTTATGTTTATTATTTCCCTTCTGAAAACTAACTCTAGTCTACATCCATTGGACAGCTATGGGTCCAACGGGCTAGAACAGCGCTCAGCTCTGAGGGAAGTTTAACTTTTTCTGGAGACCAAATGGAAGCAGACATCAGAGAGTCAAAAGGAAAA